GTTAGCGGTGCAGTGGGGCTCAGGCAGGCCCCCAGTTAGCAGTGCAGTGGGGCTCGGGCGGCTCCCAGTTAGCGGTGCAGTGGGGCTCAGGCAGGCTCCCAGGTAGCAGTGCATGGGGCTCAGGCAGGCTCCCAGTTAGCAGTGCAGTGGGGCTCGGGCGGCTCCCAGTGAACGGTGCAGTGGGGCTCGGGCGGCTCCCAGTTCGCGGTGCAGTGGGGCTCAGGCAGGCTCCCTGCCTGCCCTGGCTCTGTACAGCTCCCGGAAGCAGCCAGCATGTCCCTGTGACCCCTAGGCAGAGGAGCGGCCTGGGGGGCTCTGCACGCTGCCCACAGGCACCGCCTCCACAGCCCCCATTGACCATAGTTCCCGGCCAATGGGAGCTGCGGAGCCGGTGCTGGGGATAGGGGCAGCACACAGAGCTTCCCTGATCGCTCCTGTGCCTAGGGGCCACAGGGACATGCCGGCTGCTTTCAGGAGCTGCATCGAGCCAGGGCAGGTGGGGAGCCTGCCTGAGCCCTGCTGCCTCGCTGACCAGACTTTTAATAGCCCGGGCAGCGGTGCTGACCTGAGCCACCGGCATCCCTTTTTGACTGGGCGTGCTGGTCAGAAGCCCGCCGCTTCCCCTAAATGGCCTCCCTGCTTAGGCCCCCAGCACCTTTCTGGAACCCCAGTCCGTGCTCAGAGTCCTGCACTCCCATTGGGTGGGTGGCGTGTCGGGCCGGTGGGTTAGGGAGTCTCAGGGAACACACCTGCACATGCGCCCAGCCCCTCAGGGCAATGCACGTACCCACCCCACTCCGTGGCGGCTCACACCCCAGCCCCTCCTGCCCTGGCTCGGCAGAGTGCAGGGCCTGTCAGGCAGGGTGGGTGGAACCATGGAGGGCGGCATGGGCCCCTGGCACCGTGGGTGAGCAGCCTGTTTGCCAGGCCCTCAGGTGGTAGCAATAGCCCCAGGTTGCAGGTGGGTAGTCGAGGCCCGGTCGGCCTGGCCTGGCACACACGGCCGGCTCACGCTGAGGGAACAGGCGTGATGAGAGCCCAGGTGCTGGACAGCAGAGGGACGCCGAGGTGAGGCCTGGGGCAGCGGTGCTGGGGCCCGGGGCTGGAGTCAGCCGGCTGGAGGGCAGGAGGGCAGAGCGCGGCACCTCAGTCTGCTGCTGGCTCACTAGGAGGCCTGGGTCGGCGATGGGGAGCAATGAGCAGCGAGGGATCCTGCTAGGGACGTTGCTGGTTTATTTTATGTTACTACGTATGAGACGCCAAATCCCCCGTTGGCAGGTCCTGCTCTTCTGCCCCAGGTGGGCTCGCAGTGCTGCTGCTGCCCTAGCTGGAGGCGACGTCTAAGCCCAGGGGACTGCAAGCTGGAGGGGCGGCAGAGAAGTGCAGCTGGCAGCCGACACGGGACACCCCATGGGCTTGTGCCCAGGCTGGGGAGCAGCTCAGCTACCCTCCACCCTGCACTGCTGGGCACTGGCCATGGTGATTTCTCTGCCATCCACAGCCAGCCCCAGTGAGACCGTGACATGCTATACGGGCAGGACACTAGGGGCGAGGTCTTTGCCAGGTGAAGAATGGGGGTCTCCAAGGAGGCAGCTCCCCAGACATTTTCTAGAAGCCAGCATGGGCGCCCCAGACGGCTAGCTTGGCTGGATGCCCTGGAAGCCCCGTCTCGGCTCTGAGGCGGGTGTCTCTGCTGGACTGCGTCAGGCCGGCGGCTTTGGGGGGCTCAGAACTCATATCGGGAGATGAAGACCGTGACCCTGAAGATGTGCTTCCCAAGAAGAACCTTCCTGGCGAGTTTGCTCATTTCCAGCTCCACCTCCAAGGTGGCCGGCCCCACCACCGGGCTGGTGAGGATCAGCTCGCCGGTGTGCCGGTCGGAGCGCCGCACGGCAAAGACGCCCTGGCCCCTGCCACCCGTGATGGCGAAGCGCAGGCTCTCACCCACCAGGTGGGTGGTGGACATCTTGAAGAGCACCCTTGGCACGGTGCGGTTGGATTGGAGCGGCAGGTAGTGGAAGGAGATGGAGTTGGCGGCCAGGCGGCAGGCTCTGCTGTTCACGGGGCATGGATTGCGCTCACACTGACTGCGGGGAGATAGAATCATAGGACTGGAAGGGACCTCACAAGATCTCTAGTCCAGTCCCCTGCACTCCTGGCAGGACTAAGTATTATCTAGACCATCCCTGACAGGAGTGTGTCTAACCTGCTCTTAAACATCTCCACAACCTCCCTAGGCAGTTTATTCCAGTGCTTAACCACCCTGACAGTTAGAAAGTTTTTCATAATGTTCAACCTAAACCTCCCTTGTTGCAATTTAAGCCCGTTGCTTCTTGTCCTATTTTCAGAGGTTAAGAACAATTTTTCACCCTCTTCCTTGTAGCAACCTTTTATGTACTTGAAAACTAAACAAACCCAGTTTTTTCAATCTTCCCTCATAGGTCATGTTTTCTAGCCCTTTAATAATTGTTGTTGCTCTTCTCTGGACTTTCTTCAGTTTGTCCACATCTTTCCTGAAATGTGGTGCCCAGAACTGAGCCCAATACTCCAGTTGAGGCCTAATCAGCGCAGAGTAGAGTGGAAGAATTACTTCTTGTGTTTTGCTTACAACACTCCTGTAACCCTTACAATAATCCCAGAATGATGTTTGCTTTTTTTGCAACAGTGTTACACTGTTGATTCATATTTAGCTTGTGATCCACTATGACCCCCAGATCCCTTTCTGCAGTACTCCTTCCTAGGCAGTCATTTCCCATTTTGAATGTGTGCAACTGATTGTTCCTTCCTAAGTGAAGTACTTTGCATTTGTCCTTGTTGAATTTCATCCTATTTACATCAGACCATTTCTCCAGTTTGTCCAGATCATTTTGAATTTTAATCCTATCCTCCAAAGCACTTGCAGCCCCTCCCAGCTTGGTATCGTCCACAAACTTCATAAGTGTACTCTCTATGCTATTATCTAAATCATTGATGAAGATATTGAACAGAACCAGACCCAGAACCGATCCCTGCGGGACCCCACTCGTTATGCCCTTCCAGCATGACTGTGAACCACTGATTACTCTCTGGGAACGATTTTTCAACCAGTTTTGCACCCACCTTATAGTAGCTCCATCTAGGTTGCATTTCCCTAGTTTGTTTACGAGAAGGTCATGCGAGACAGTATCCAAAGCTTTACTAAAGTCAAGATATACCACGTCTTCCGCTTCCCTCCTATCCACAAGGCTTGTTACCCTGTCAAAGGAAGCTATCAGGTTGGTTTGACATGATTTGTTCCTGACAAATCCATGCTGACTGTTACTTATCACCTTATTATCCTCTAGATGTTTGCAAATTGATTGATTATTTGATCCTTTACCTTTCCAGGTACAGAAGTTAAGCGGACAGATCTGTAATTCCCCGGGTTGTCCTTATTTCCCTTTTTATAGATGGGCACTAGATTTGCCCTTTTCCAGCCCTCTGGAATCTCTCCTATCTTCCATGACTTTTCAAAGATAATTGTTAATGGCTCAGATATCTCCTCAGTCAGCTCCTTGAGTATTCAAGAATGTATTTCATCAGGCCCTGGTGATTTGAAGACATCTAAATTTGTCTAAGTAATTTTTTACTTGTTTTTTCCCTATTTTAGCCTCTGATCCTACCACATTTTCACTGGCATTCACTACATTAGACATCCCATCACCACCAGCCTTCTTGATGAAAACCGAAACGAAGAAGTCATTAAGCACCTCATCTTCTGTTATTGTTTTTCCCCCTCATTGAGTAACGGGCCTACTCTGTCCTTGGTCTTCCTCTTGCTTCTAATGTACATGTAGAATGTTTTCTTGTTACCCTTTATGTCCCTAGCTAGTTTGATCTCATTTTGGGCCTTGGCCTTTCTAATTTTGTCCCTACGTACTTGTGTTATTTGTTTATATTCATCCTTTGTAATTTGACCTAATTTCCACTTTTTGTAGGACTCTTTATTTTTAGATCGTTGAAGATCTCCTGGTTAAGCCAGGGTGGTCTCTTGCCATACTTCCTATCTTTCCTGTGCCGTGGGATAGTTTGCTCTTGTGCCCTTAATCATGTCTCCTTGAAAAACTGCCAACTGTCAATTGTTTTTCCCCTTAGACTTGCTTCCCATGGGATCTTACCTAGCAAACTCAGGGAGTTGGTAAATCTGCCTTGAAATCCATTTTGCTGTTCTCCCTCCTTCCATTCCTTAGAATCACAAACTCTACCATTTCATGATCACTTTCACCCAAGCTGCCTTCCACTTTCAAATTCTCAACCAGTTCCTCCCTATGTGTCAAACTCAAATCTAGAACAGCCTCCCCCCAATAGCTTTCTCCACCTTCTGAAATAAAAAATTGTCTCCAATACATTCCAAGAACTTGTTGAGAATCTGGGCCCTGCTGTGTTATTTTCCCCACAGATGTCTGGGGAGTTGAAGTCCCCCATCATCACCAAGTCCTGTGCTTTGGGCGATTTTGTTATTTGTTTTAAAAAAACCCTCATCCACCTCCTCTTCCAGGTTAGATGGTCAGTAGTAGACGCCTACCATGACATCACCCTTGTTTTCACCCCTTTTATCCTTACCCAGAGACTTTCAACAAGTCTGTCCCCTATTTCCATCTCAAACTCAGTCCAAGTGTACACGTTTGTAATATACAAGGCAGGGAAAAGGCCGTGAGGTGGGGACGGCGGCAGGGCAAGTGGGTGGGATGCCCTGGGCTGGGCCACGGGACCTAGGATAATATTATTTTAAATGTGCCATTAGTTAGCACGGGACCCCCTAAAAGGGTTACCACTGTACGACAGGGAGCACATGGGCCGCGGCTGTATAATCCTGCCCCATCCACCTCTGCCAATGCCCCTCAGTCTTGCCCCACAGCCCCTCAATGGGCTTCCCCCCGCCCCACACATCTACGCCCAGCTCTGCAGAAATGTTTCTAGCATCAGGTGCAGGGCCCGCTCCTGTGCCAGTTGTTAATGACCCTGGAGCCACGTCTGCTTGTGCCCCACATGGAGGGAGGTTTAGCAATGGCAGGGCCTGCTGAGGGTTAGCAAACTCATGGCACATGTGACCTAAGCCGCATTTAAAGCCAAGCCTTGCAGTGGAATGCCTGGGCCTGAGGCCAGCCAGCCTGGCAAGCTGAGCTCTGTCTAGCGTCAGGGCAAGCCAACACCCCTCCACCCCCCAAGCCCTAGACCCAGCCTCTGACAAGGCAGCTATGCCAGCGGGGTGGCATCCTTAGAATCCTCCCAGCTAGCCCCCACGTACCCAAAGGAACCACAGACACCATGGCCAACCGTTTGCCCCAGAGTGGGCCCAGGGCGCTTGGCCAGTCTGCAAACCGGGCCCTGTGAGGCTAGGACAGCACCAGTGCTGAGGGTCAGAGCACTCCCCCCTGCCGAGCTGGGCCATATGCACCTGGCCTGCTGAGCTCTGGGGACAGTCTAGCCCCAGGGCTCCCAAGCAGTGAGGCCGTCACATGCAGTGGCTGGCCGACAGGGCCCCGTTCTGCTCTCAGCCATGCCCTGGGAACTCCACACAGCCGCAGGGCGACTGGCTTTACACTGGGGCAGCGGAAGTCAGCATTTGCCCTTTGCTGAAAGGCAGAGGGAGCAAGGGGTTGACGGAGGAGCTGATGAGAACCAGGGTGTCCCACCCGGTCCCACCCTGCACACAACATTCATCGAGCTGCCCCCACCAACAGCCGGAGTCGCCTGCTGAGTGTCCAGGTGACCCCTTGAGGCTGCCAGCTGGGGGGCTCCGCAGAGCCTGGCGCTGATGGAAGAACCTCCCTGCGCTGAGACGGTGCCTTCGCAGGGCCCCGGGGAGCGACTTTGGGTCTTGCTAAACAAGCTGAGCCTGGGGAGCTGGGGGAGCAGAGCTGGTCTGTCCCGTGAGCCGCCAACCCTCTGCTCAAAGCCAGCCAAGAGCACAGGCTCCTGGGCGGCCTGTTTGTAGGTTGACTTCCCGCCAAGGGAGCTGCATAAACAGGATGTTTGGAAATGCAGGCGCAGCGCCAGCCCCAGCCCTAGTGACGCTGGATTGGCGCCGGGCCGCCCGTCCAGGATGCCGGTGCCGGGGGCACGCAGCGGAGCCGCAGCCTGCTTCAAGGGGGGCCAACGGCAGGCTACACATGCACCTTCCGCAGGCCCTGGCTTTGCGAGCCCCCTCGGCAGGCCAGCCCAGGACGCAGGCAGTGCGGGAAGGAAGGCGTGTGGGCAAGAGGTGCTGACCCTTGTGCCCCTAGTGCCGGGGATGAACCGCACCAATGGCGGGGAAGTCCTGGGAAAGCGGCCAGGAGGAGGGGCTGTGGCTGAAGCTGGTGCTCGGAGCGACCTAGCTCTTCAGCCACAATGCAAAGCTGGGCCGTAGCAATAGCCCATTTACAGAGGGGGAAACTGAGGCATGGAGACTTCACTAAGGTCACCCAGCAGGCCCATGGCAGTACCAGGAAAAGAACCCAGAGCTCCTGAGTCCCAGGCCAGTGCGCTACTCACTAGGCCACCCTGCTCCCCTGGAGAATTCCCCTTTGCTTTAACAGAGCCCCCCGGGGGAGGAGGGTATTTCGACTTGGGGACAGCCCCTGAACGTCAGAGATGTGACACCAGTTTCCAGCCAGGGGGTTCTCTCATTTTGAAGCAAGTCAGCCTATGGCACCTTAAAGCAACGCGTCTCCAGTGAGCGTTCCCCCTTCACTGGGTCAGTAGCAGTTACACACACACACACACTCTTTCTCTCTCTTCAACCCAATCCGGCACTGATTCAAACAGACCCCTGGCAGTAGATAGCACAGAGTTCTGCTGCCGCCAGCAGTGGTACAGAAGTAAGGGGGGCAATGCACCATGCCACACCGTACCATGCCACCCTTACTTCTGCGCTGCTGGGCACCCGGCCAGCATCTGCCGCCTCGTGCCCCTCCCCCAGAATACATGCCACGCTCCCATCCCCGCCAGTTTGAGAACCTCTGCCCTAAACGGATACTTGTGTCTGGCAACCAGCCGGTGTCTCTGCAAGGCACAGCGTAGGGCACGGGCAGCCTCTGCCAGCAGGGGGCACTGTGCCCCCCAGGGACTCAGCACTCCTCCCAGCCGGGGTGCCGCAGGGGAGCCGTGGGCTGCCGGCCTGCGTGCCCAGAAACACTTACTAGACGGAGGTCTTGACGTAGCTGGTGTTGAGCCTGGGCTTGGGGCACTCGGGGCGCACACACCGGTAGCCTCCGAAGACGTTGACACATAGCTCGCCACGGCTGCAGTTGTGCTGATTGTCGGCGCATTCGTCTACATCTGGCAGAGCAAACAGAATCCCCCAGATCCTGGTGTGAATGCAACTGGTTCCCTTCCACGGTGGGGCCAGGGCCCCGGCCTACCCAGCTGTGGCCACACACCCTGCCAGCGTCCTTCTTGCCTGGGCTGTTTAGCCCTCGTGTGCTGAGCCATCCTGCATGGCCAGGCCAGTGTCTTCTCCAGGGGCAGAGATGGGGGCCAGGGGACATTTGCCTCTTCAGGATCAGGCTGGTGCCAAGGCAAGGGGAGCCTCGGTCCCAAGGGGGCAGAGGTAACACTAGGCCTGGGTATCCCAGGGGGCTTTGGCAGCAGCCTGGCGCTCGGGCAGAGCTGATCCCAGGGTGGGATGATGCCAAAGAAGGGTCCAGCCCAGGCCCGTGGGCACCCAAAGGGGCTTGCGGCTCGCCACGCTGCTAAGCTGAGTGCGCAGAAGGGCTCTGGGCTGGGTCCCATTTGCAAGCCGTGGTGACCCCGCAGGGAGTGAGGTCTCTCTCCCCTCCCCCGACGCAGGTGCTGCTCACCGGTGCACAGGTTCTGGTCTGCAGGGCGCAGGTAGCCCTGGGGGCAGACACAGCGGTAGGAGCCGGGCAGGTTCACACAGTCGTGTGCGCAGAGGCGGGTCTGCCAGCTGGCCTGGGAGCGCTGGCACTCGTCAACATCTGGCCGCGGAATAGACAGGGGAGATTCCGGGGAGCAGGGTCAGGAAGTGTGACACCCAGACCACCCCCCAGCCGTGGAACCCCCCAGCCTCCACCCCACCCTGGGTGCCACACAAGAGCCTCCCCTTGGGTTCCCTGGCTGGGGCTGGCCACATCCCTGGGCCCCGAGGTGCTGCTGCTGGGTGGGTCCCTCGTTGGGAGGGGCGAGGGCAGAGCTCCTGCTGTGGGGGCCTCGGTGGGGTTAGACACTCCCCAGCCCCGCTGGCAGAGCGTGGAGAGGGAGCCATGGTACCTTGGCACACGCTGCCAGCCTGCAGCTGGAAGCCGGTGTCACAGGCGCAGCGGCGCGAGCCCAGGCGGGTGTCTGCGCAGCGGGGCTGGTGGCTGAAGGACGAGTTGCTCAGCGTCACCCAGTCTGCAGCAGCAGGGAGAGACGGCTGTTAGCTCCCCCAGTCGGCGTCAGGCGGAGCCCGGCCCGGGGCGTGGCACAGCTCTGGGCACTGTGTGGGGGCCATGCCCAACTCCTGCACCACCCTGCTGGGGGTTGGGCAAGCCTGTCGGCACTGAGCCGCGGCACTCACTGCTCATGGCACAGCGCCCCGTGAGCCCCGTGTCCGGAACACGGGGCAGCACCAGAGCCGGGGCGGATGGACTGGGACAGCCATGGCTGCTGGGAGCAGGGCTCTCCTGGGAGCCCGGCTCTCCTGGGAGCCCAGGCCTGGCGCTGCAGGCGGGGGGGGGGGGGGGGAAACGTGGCTGGAGGGACCCTCTATAACCCCATGGCGATTGGCTCCTGCCAGTCTGCTCGTGTCCTGGCCCTCCCTAGCTGGCACCATGGTCACCCGCCATCACAACCACATCCAACGCCACTCCAACTCACACACTTCCCTGCACCATGCGCACACACACACCCTCTTCCCTGCTCTGTGCACCCACACCCCTTCTTCCCTGCACCGTGTGCGCGCGCGCACACACACACACCTTCCCTGTACCATGCACACACAGACACACCCTCCTCTTCCTTGCACCGTGCGCGCGCGCACACGCACACACACACACCTTCTTCTCTGCACCGTGTGAAGAAACACACACACCTCTTCCCTGCACTGTGCACATCCCAACACCCCTCTTCCCTGCACAAACACTTCTTCCCTGCCCCATGCTGTGACGAAGTGGGGATTTCCCCTTGTTATGTTGTATGTGAGTCTTACTGTTTTGCATGAATGCTGTCTGTGCCTCAGTTTCCCTGTGTATCGCACCAGTGTCTAGGTGGTGGGAATAAGGGGGTGTGACTTTTGCGGGGGCTGCTCCAGCTGCCTGCACGGATGCTGCGGCCGCCCCTTTGGAACCTGAGACCCAGGAGGGGGATGCGACCAGGTGACTCTTGGCCCAGCAGCGAGTCAAAGGCCAGAGGAGGAGCAACGGGCAGGGCAGGGGCCAGGCGGCTGGCAGCGGGTCAGTCTCCGCTGGCTTGTGACGCAGGGGAAGGATCAGAGCCCTGGCTCTGGGCTCCCCTCCCCCCAAGATGGACTTGGCTGAAAGTCACTGATTTCTGTGCTAACAAGTTCTGTCCTACGCTGTGTTCCTGTCGACTAATAAACCTTCTGTTTTACCCACTGGCTGAGAGTCACGTCTGACTGCAGAGTTGGGGGGCAGGGCTCTCTGGCTTCCCCAGGAGCTCTGCCCGGGCGGACTCGCTGCGGGAAGTGCACAGTGTGGAAGGGGATGCTGAATGCTCCGAGGTCAGACCCAGGAAGGTCGAGGCTGTGTGAGCTTCTTGCCCTGGCGACAGTCTGCTCAGAGAGAGGAGGCTCCCCCAGAGTCCTGCCTGGCTTCGTCTGGAGCAGTCCCAGAGCATCGCCCGGGGACTCAAGGACACACACACACACACACACACACACACGCACACACACAACTGATCCACTCTGCTGCTGCCCCTCCTGGAGTTGAGAGGTGCGAGAGGCCGGGGCCTGGTCTGTACCCACAGGAATAGACGGGGGTCTGGCAGTTACTGCCTGACCAGCTGCTGGGGCACACGCAGGTGAACTGCTGCACGTCCTCCACGCAGGTCCCGCCGTTGGCACAGGGGTTGCTGGCGCAGTGGCTGATACCTGTGGGGAGGGGAGAGACGCTGGTTAGCGAGAACCTGGAACGGGGGCGGAGGCCGGGTGGGGATTGGGGTGGGGGTGGGGACCGGGGTGGATAGGGGTGTGGGGTGGGGATTGGGGCGGGGGCAAGGTGGGGATTGGGGTGTGGAGCGGAGATCGGGGCAGGCATGTGGGTGGGGATTGGGGTGGATGGGGCGGGGACTCATGGCGGAGGCGGGGCGGGGACTCATGGCGGGCATGTGGGTGGGGATCGGGGTGGATAGGGGCGTGGGGCAGGGATGGGGGTGGAGACAGGGCAGGCATGTGGGTGGGGATCGGGGTGGGTGGGGCGGGGACTCATGGCGGAGGCGGGGCGGGGACTCATGGCGGGCATGTGGGTGGGGATCGGGGTGGATAGGGGCATGGGATGGGGACTCAGGGCAGGCGTGGGAGCAGGGTGGATGGGGCATGGAGTGGAGATCGGGGCAAAGGCAGGAGGGGCGGAGATCAGGGCATGGGGTGGGGATCAGGGCGGATAGGGGCGTGGGGTGGGGATTGTGGCGGAGGCGGGGATGGGATCGGGGTGGATAGGGACATGGGGCAGGGATCGGGGCGGAGGCGGGGCGGGGATGGGTGCAGGCGTGTGGGTGGGGATCGGGACGGATAGGGGCATGGAGCAGAGTTCGGGGTGGGTGTGGGAACCGGGGTGGATAGGGACATGGGGAGGGGATTGGGGTGGAAGCAGGGCGGGGATTGGGGTGTATAGGGGCATGGGGCGGGGCGGACAGGGGCATGGAGCAGAGTTTGGGGCGGGCATGTGGGTGGGGATCGGGGTGGATAGGGACATGGGGCAGGGATCGGGGCGGAGGCGGGGCAGGGATGGGTGCAGGCGTGTGGATGGGGATTGGGTGGATAGGGGCGTGGGGCAGGGATCGGGGCGGAGGCGGGGCGGGGATGGGTGCAGGCGTGTGGGTGGGGATCGGGACGGATAGGGGTGTGGAGCAGAGTTCGGGGCGGGCGTGGGTGTGGGGACCGGGGTGGATAGGGACATGGGGAGGGGATCGGGGCACTAGGGAGCGGGTGGGGAGGGGAGTGGGAGCTGAGGGAGATGTCGG